AAAAAAAAAAAAAAAAAGTGCCATGGAAATAACAAAGTCAAGGACAGAGGAGGGTCACAAGGCTGGTAGCACAAGGACACTGGCAACTTAACACCATATTTATTAGTTCACAACAACAAACAAGTTATTTTACTAAGCCCTCTCATGCACTAATTTATTAAAGCCTTGCAGCAATCCAGCTTGGCAGTAACAATTAATGTCACTTTACACATGAGGAAATCAAGAGGTTAAGTAAATTGCTCAAGGTCATAAAGTGTCAGCAATTGGATGTCAGACATTTACATCTCAGTCAACAATCAATTATAGCCTGTGTCTCATGCCTATAATCCTAGCTACTCAGGAGGCTGAGATTTGATCACTGAGGTTCAAAGGCAGAGTAGGCAGGAAAAGCTTCCAAGACTTCATCTCCAATTAACTAGCAAAAAGCCAGAAGCAGAAGTATGGGCGTAAGTGGTAGAGTGCTAGCCTTGATCAAAAAAGTTAAGCAAGGGCTGGGAATGTGGCTTGGCTGTAGAATGCTTGCCTAGCATGTATGAAGTTCTGGGTTCAATTCCTCAGTACCACATAAACAGAAAAAGCCAGAAGTGGAGACATGGCTCAAGTGGTAGAGTACTAGCCTCGAGCAAAAGAAGCTCAAGTACAGTGCCCAGGCCCTGAGTTCAAGCCTCAGGACTGGCATGAAAAAAAAAAAAAAAGCAGAAATATGAGGCCTGAATTCAGGTCCCAAGACTGGTGTGGGCATTTGCACATATGCATGAACATACATGCACATGAGCACATACAAAAAGTCAGGTGCTAGTGGCTCACATCTGCACTCCTACTCAGCAGACTGAGATCCAAGAATAGAGGTTCAAAGCCAGCCCAGACAGGAAAGTCCATGAGACTCTAACCTCCAATTAGCCACCAAAATGCAAGGGGAGATATAGCTCAAGCCATACAATGCCAGCCTTGAGCAAAAAGCCAAGGGACAAGCCGGGCGCCGGTGGCTCACGCCTGTAATCCTAGCTACTCAGGAGGCTGAGATCTGAGGATCGCGGTTCAAAGCCAGCCCGGGCAGGAGACCGTGAGACTCCTATCTCCAATAAACCACCAGAAAACCGGAAGTGGCATTGAAGCTCAAGTGGTAGAGCACTTGCCTTGAGCTGAAGAGCTGAGGGACAGCGCCCAGGCCCAGAGTTCAAGCCCCACGACCGACAAAAAAAAAAAAAAAAAAAAGCCAAGGGACAGTACCCAGGTCATGAGTTCAATCCCCAGCCACTGGAAAGAGAAGGAGGGAAGAAAAGTAAGATATGGAGCCTCTCCAGTATTAGGATGGCACCCTGCACTGCAACAGTCTACCAGGGAGTGGACAATGGCCATAGTCATACCACTCATTCACTAACTCAACCTAGCTATTTCCAGAAATTTTAGAAACAACTTCTCCAGACAGCCACAATGAGGAAGACTTGTCATGACAAGCTATCATTCATATAATGACCTTGGCATAATCTAAGGACCTGGCAGCACAATTAAACCAAGGTCATAAATGTTAACACCCCACTTATCAAAGTGCTCAGGAAAGAGGGGCACTTGACTAGCCAGAATCTGATTAAACATATAGATACATATACTAGAAATGGGTTTCACATTTCCAAAGAAACAATTAAGGACTTGGGGGTGTGGCTCAGTAGACCCTATGTTCTGCTTCAACCCCCTCCACAAAGCTGGGCACCCACCCATGGCTCATGCCTGTAACCCTAGCTATTCAAGGGGCTAAGATCTGAGGAACAAGTAGCCCAGGCAGAAAAGAAGTGAAGCTGTGGCTCAAGAGGTAGAGTGCTGGCCTTGAGCCAAAGAACAGGGACAGCAACCAGACCCTGAATTCAAGGTCCATAACCTTGAACACAAAAAGGAACAAGAAAAAAAAATCCTGCACAAGAAGAGAGAATGCAGAAGAAAGTCACTTCAAGCCAGACTGGGCTACACAGTGAAACCCTGTCTCAAAAAGCAAAACAGAAGGCCTGTGACTCATGCTTAGCTGTTCAGGAGGCTGAGATCTGAGAACTGAGATTTAAACCAAGCCCAGGTAGGAAAGTCCCTGAGATTTTTATCTCCAGTTAACCACCAAAAAGCCAGAAGTGGAGCTATGGCTCAAGTGACAGAGCATTAGCCTTGAGAAAAAAAAAAAAAGCTCAGGGCAAGTCCTGGGAACAGCACATTAAAAACAACAAAACAAAATGACACAGGTAACAAGAAATGAGCACAGAAGTTAGGCGAAGATAAGGTTTGTTTCCTTTGGATAAAACCTGAAAACAGGAGAGGCTAGGATGCTTGATAAGAAATGTACTCATTATCTTGCCCAGGCAATTGTACGGTATTGTACAGTATTGCCCCTCTGTACAGTATTTTCACAATAAAAAAAATAAAAATTTAAAAAAACCTGAAAACACCTGGATCTTCACCACAGAGGTTAAAATCCAGCAACTGCATCAAACCGTAGATTTTTTTTTTTTTTGGCCAGTCTTGAAGCTTGAACTCAGGGCCTGAGCACTGTCCCTGAGCTCTTTTGCTCAAGACTAGCGTTCTGGGCTGGGAAGGTGGCTCAGTGGTAGAGCGCTTGCCTTGCATGCTCAAGGCCCTGCGTTCGATTCCTCAGCACCACATAAGCAAAAAGAAAAAAGCCGGAAGTGGTGCTGTGGCTCAAGTGGTAGAGCACTAGCCTTGAGCTGAAGAGCTGAGGGACAGCGCCCAGGCCGAGTTCAGGCCCCATGACCGGACCCAAAAAAAAAAAAAAAAGACTAGCGTTCTACCACTTGAGCCACGGTGCCACTTCTGCCTTTGTATGGGGTACTGAGGAATCCAACCCAGGGCTTCATGCATGCTAGGCAAGCACTATACCACTAAGCCACCTTCCCAGCCCCCAAACGTATAATTTTTATACTTAGCCTCACTCCTTTTCTCTTAACCATGACATTTTAAATAGATGCAAGGGGAAAAGAAAGGTCACAGACACTGGGGCTGGGGGGAAGAGGGAAGGAGGCCTAGTCTAATATCAAGAAGACCACACAGGTGGTCCCAGGGGTCTCTTCATAACCTCCGATGAGTTTGACAATCCTCGGGACTATTTTAAAACAAGTGCGACACTGTGTGCACAACCCTCACAAATCTGTATCCCCCGCCTCCCAAAACAATAAGTAATGGCTGTCCAGTAGCCATGCAAGGCTCTGAACCCAGGTGAGGTCAAGATTTCATTGCAATACAATGGGGACCACAATTCCCGATCCGGGGTATATACGAAAAGAGAAACACCAAAATGGACGACACACCAGTACAAACTGGGAGAGCCAAGGCCATAGTTCTGTCCCGTTCCCTTAGGACAAGGTTCCGGGCCACCGGGATCACGTGCGCCCCGCACAGTCACAACACGACTGCGGGAGGGGTCACCCGCAGGGCCCACCCCCACAGCGGGAAGGGCAGCCTCAGCAAGGCCTCAGAAGGCTCGGCCACTCCAGTAGCGCAGGGACCTGCAGTGAGCCGTCTGAGCCGCCACCTCCTCGGTCCCATCCGCCTCGGCCCCGCAGCCCTCGCCCGGCTCCCCACTGCCTCTCCGGCCGCAGGTACAGGCCCAGGCCGGCGCCTGCGCAGTGCGCGCCTCGCACCGAGTCCGCCGACCAGCCGACCGGAGAAGCGAGGCGAGGCCCGCGAGACCCAGCACGGCCCAGGCAGGGACAGGTGGACGCTGCGGGGCACCCCTTCCCCAGAGCTAGGGTCCCAGTCTCACCAGTGCCCAGGAGGCCAGCCAGGAGAACGAGAGCATACATGGCGCCGCTAGACTCGGCTGTCTGCAATGCAGAGTGTCAGCTGACCCCGGCACATATAAACCTACCCCCCACCCCGACGCTAGCGTCAGTGCGCACGCGCCTGCCACGCCCTAACCGGGCGCGGCCTGACTCAGCGCGGCTCAGAGCGCCTGCGGGAGCCAAAGGGAGGGATCCACCCGAGGGAGTAGTGGGGGAGGAGTCTAAGGGTGGGGCCTCTACAGAGTGGAGGGGCACTAGGGAAGAAAAGGTGGTTAACTTGTAAAAGAAAAATCATATAAAATGGCCAAATCAAGGATGTATGAAACATTTTCATTTATTTGTTTACTATATTTATTTAATTTATGCAGTGGTGGGCATCTTGGCCAGGGCCTCTCAAATAATAGGCAAATACTTTGCCACTCTGCTATATCCCTAGTCCCATTCTACCTTTTAAGGCTCACATTTTCTTTATTGTTGTTGTTGTTGTTTTGTTTTGCCAGTCCTAGGGCTTGCACTCGGCCTGGGCACTGTCCCTGAGTTTCTTTTTGCTCAAGCCTAGTGCTCTACCATTTGAGCCACAGCGCCACTTCCAGCTTTTTCTGTTTAAGTGGTACTGAGGAATCGAACCCAGGGCTCCATCCATGAAAGGCCAAGCACTAAGCCACATTCTCAGCCCAGTTTTTTGTTTTGTTTTGTTTTTTGTTTTGTTTTTGTCAATTATGGGGCTTGAACTCTGAGCCTGGATGCTGTCCCTGAGCTCTTCAGCTCAAGGCGAGCTTGAGCCACAGCGACACTTCCAGAATGGTGGTTTATTGGAGATAAGTCTCACGGACTTTCCTGCTCGGGCTGGCTTTGAACCGAGATACTCAGATCTCAGCCTCCTGAGTAGCTAGGATAACAGGCGGGAGCCACCGGCCTGCCCAGTTTTTGTTTTTTTGAGACAGGATCTTGTTATGATTTTGTTGGCCAACATCTTATTTTGCCCTGGAACTGGCCTAGAACTCACCACCCCAGAAATGGCCTAGAATTCACAGCCTACTAATGGAATTTTTTTGAGGCCCAGACATTGAACCCAGGACCCCACCATTCATTGTGCTCTGCCACTGAGCTATATCTCCTAGTATATTTATGTACAGAAAAACCAATAGTATACATTTAACCTGGTTTTAGTGGGGAATTTTTTTAGCCTTTGCTGTTTTCAGCTTGGCAATGGGAACATGGATTTTGGACCCAGGAGGTTAATTCCAGACTCACATTTTCTTTCATCTGAGGTCACTTTACTATCAGTTTCATTTTACAGATGAGAATTAATAGGAAACTGGTAAGGACTTATCCAAGTTCTCCCCTCCCCCCCCCACGCAAGGTTTGTTTTGTTTTATTTTATTGTAATTCACACATGCATATATTATGATTTAGATTAAACCTCTTCTAATGTTCTCCTTCCCCATTTTCCAAGTTTTTACAGTCAGGATTCAAAATCACTACCCATAAACACACTGACCATCCATCCACACTCAGAAACTGTCAAAGAAAGAAGGACTTTGAGAATTTCAATTCGGAAGATGCGGTCTCAAATCTCTGTATCAAATGGCAGGAAAGTGGGAGTTTAAAACTGTAATCAAGAAATTAGCTCAGTGAGAGCTGGGAAGGTGGCTCAGTGGTAGAGCGCTTGCCTTGCATGCCTGAGGCCCTAGGTTCGATTCCCCAGCACCACATAAGCAAAAAAGAAAAAGAAAAAAGCCGGAAGTGGTGCTGTGGCTCAAGTGGTAGAGTGCTAGTCTTGAACTGAAGAGCTGAGGGACAGCGCCCAGGCCCAGAGTTCAGGCCCCACAACCGGACCCTAAAACAAAAAAAAAAAGAAAGAAAAAGAAAAAAAAAGAAATTAGCTCAGTGATAGAGCAAAAAGACAAGCAAGAGCATGAAGCCCTAAGTTAAAGTCCCAATACTGTTACAATAAAAAAAAAAATTCTAAGCAGGGTATAGGTGGCTCACACCTGTAATTCTAACTGTTCAAATGGCTGAAATCTGAGGATCACTGATACGAAGCCTAGGCATTAAAGTCCAAGACACTCTTATCTCTAATTAACTACCTTGAAACCAGAAGTGGAGCTGTGGCTCAAATCATAGAGTCAACCTTGAGTGAAAAAGCCAAGCAAGAGTATGAGGCCAGCTTCAAACCCTCTAGTACCAGAAAGGGAAAAAAAAAGTGCAATCAGTCAAAAACAAAAAGTTTCTTTGCAGGGAACTTCTATTGAATGGAGAAGACAGATGCAGTATGACATGGGTGCATGAGTGGCAGAAGATAAAGGCAAGAATGTGTATTAGTAAACTGCCCATAAGAAACATCATGGTGGAAGCCGGGCACAGGTGACTCATGCCTGTAATCCTAGCTACTCAAGAGGCTGAGATCTGAGGATCGAGGTTCAAAGACAGCCCAGGTAGGAAAGTCTATGAGACTATTGTCTCCAGACTATTAACCACCAGAAAACTGGAAGTGGCGCTATGGCTCAAGTGGTAGAGCACTAGCCATGAGCTGAAGAGCTGAGGGACAGCACCCAGGCCCAGAGTTCAAGCCCCACAAACAAAAAGGGGGGGAGGGAGGGAAAGAGGGGAGAGAGGAGGAGAGGGAAAGGGAGAGAAACAAGAAAGAGAACAAAAGAAAGAAAGAAAGAGAAAGCAAGCAAGCATGGTGGGGCTGGGATTGTGGCTTAGTGATAGAGTCTAGCATGCATGAAGCCCTGGGTTCAATTCCTCAGTACCACATAAACAGAAAAAGCCAGGAGTGGCACTGTGGCTCAAGTGGTAGAGTGCTAGCCTTGAGCAAAATGAAGCTCAGGGACAGTGCTCAGGCCCTGAGTTCAAGCCCCAGGACTGGCAGGGCAAAAAAGAAAGACAGAGGGGGGTGGGAGAGGGAGAGGAAGGGAGAGGGAGGGGGAGAGAGAGAGAGAGAAGCAGGGTGGCATACACCTGTGAACCCAGCACGGGAGAAGCTAAGATAGGAGAATCATGAGTTGAAGGCCAGCCTGTACAAAATAAGGAAATTCTCAAAAAAAAAAAAAAAGAGGGACTTAAATCATAAATTTTTTATTTTTACAAAAAATACACAGGAGCTGGGAAGGTGGCTCAGTGGTAGAGTGCTTGCCTTGCGTGTCTGAGGCCCTGTGTTCAATTCCTCAGCACCACATAAGCAAAAAGAAAAAAGCCAGAAGTGGTGCTATAGCTCAAGTGGTA